TAGTTTTTAATTTTTTAATTGATCGACCTGAACTTGTTACTTCACTTTTATTTTTTCTTCCTCTCTTTACTATATTAGAATGTGATGTATTTGTTGTTTTTATATTATCATTTCCTCCTACACTATTTAATTCATTAATATTTCCAATAATATCATCATCTTGACCAACTTTTGGTTCATAAACTATAAATCTATTACCTAATGTAGCTCTTGTAACTGATCTAAGAGATCTTGATTTATCGGAATTTGGAGATTTTTTTCTATTACTTGTAGATTTTCTTTTATTAGTTGAATCAATAGCATCAGATAATGCTTGTTGTGATTCACCAGATTCTGATTCAGGTCGTGATGGTAAAGAAGAAAGTATTGATATATCAGTTTGTGTTGGTAATTGTTGTAATGGAGTTTTTTCACGATCATTTTGTGAAGTAATATGAGTTGATGATCCAGATGAAGATTTTCCTAAATCTTTTTTATGTTTATTACGTTGAGTTGATATAGATTGATTCGATTCATTTGAAGTTGATGAAGGATGATATGATTGATCATAACCAATTGGTGTCCCTTTATCACGTGGTCTTTCTGGTTGATGACGAGGATCATGTAATTGAGAATATTTATGAAGATCTTGTTGAGGAAGTTGCCATACAGAAATATTTGGAATCTGTTTTGGTAATGGATGATTATTCTGCCAATTTCGAACCGATACAGGATAAAAGTCTGAGTACATTTTATTTTTTTTCGAAAAATAAAAAAAAAAATATATTTTTTAAATAAATAAATAAATAGATTTATTAGCTTACTTTTGAATTATTCCTCAAGATGAAAGTACCAGCTTTATCGTGACGCGTACCTTGATCCGAAATTAATTCGGCTATTTGTTCAGCCGATGGTGATTCAGAACCACTTACATTTGAAAATTGATGACTATTTAATGAAGATTGTGATGATTGATTTGGACCTTGAGTAGACATTCTTTGCATTATTTGTTGATATGCCTGTATACCCTTAAAAAAATCTTGTTCTAATGATTCTTTATTATTTGATTCTTGTTGATTTATTTGCATCGAATTTACAGGTGGACTCCTATGTGAAGGTTTAATAAATGAATCTGATGGTCTTGGAGGTATAATAGTAGAATAATTAAAAGTAGGATTTTTTTCCATTTCTACTAATCGAGCAAAATTTTTAGCTAAAGGACTAATTCCTGCAACAGAATTTGCAGTTCCTGTTATAGAATTTTTTCCAAATTTTTTTGTTGTTGAATCAACATCAAGTTCTGTTGCTTCAATATGTAATTCACCATTTTCAGCATGAAGAAAAAATCCAGAAATAAAAAATTGTGAATATAAATCCCAATTTATAGCAATATTATCCCATCTATCATTATCTATTTGATAACCAACACGAAATCTTTGATCAATTGAACGACGTGAATAATAACTATCAAATGTTGATTTTGTTCTTACAAATTGTGAACTTTCAAATTGACGTAATGAACCGGGAATAGGTTGTGTATTAAAACTTAAATATGGTGATG